AAATTCTTGGGGAATACTCCTTCTTAATTGTTTTAGTATGAGATGCCTGCTTTTCCTCCTCCGGCGCCTTGGTCCTCTGGCGCCTTGGTAATCGTGTTATTAACCTCTGGCTGGAGTTGAATGCCTACTTCCTGCTCCTGCTTCACTGACTGCTTACTGTATTTCCCTGTGATAGTGAAGCTGTCTGAAATGCCTTCTCCTCTAACCCTTAATTGCAAACTTATTTGACTTGGTATTTGAAATTCATTGCTTCACTGTCTTTCACCGCCCTGTGAGATACTGGCAAAAAGTCTAATCCGTCTTGATTTCTAGACACTTGTGTCTCTTTCTCTCTCAGGGCACCTCTAAGATCCTCCATATCTTGGAATCTCAGAGAATATGGGGAAATGCTTTATGAAGGCATTTCTTTATTCAGCAAATAAAGTGTGTGAATCTTTTTAATTTGGGAATTCACTTCCTTCACTTCTAGAATTTTTCTTTATTTCTTTTATTCTGTTCTCTCTTCTCTACTTCCTCTCTCTCTTCTTCTCCCTTTCCCTCTCCCTCTTCTTCTCCCTCTCCCTCTCCCTCCCCCTCTCCCTCCTCCTCTCCCTCCCCTCTCCCTCTCCCTTTCCCTCTCCCTCTCCCTCTCTCTCTCCCTCCCCCCACAAAATATGTATTATTTGAATATTGACCCTCCTAGCTTGATCCTCTTAATTTTCCCCTTTTCATCTAATTTTCTACTTTTTAAAAATACATACTGGGATTATAGTATAATTACATCTCTTCCACCTTACCTTTCCTCCAAACTCTACCATGTATATCTCCTGCTTTCTTTCAAATTTATCTCCTCTTTTCCCTTAATTATTGGTAATGGGGTTGGATGGATGTGTGTGTGTGTGTGTGTGTGTGTGTGTGTGTGTTCCTAAATACATATTACAACCTGCTCAGTCTGTGTAATGTCAGTTGTATATACATGTTTTCAGGGCTGACCAGTTGGTCGTGGATAACTAATCAGGGATCTTTCCTAGGGGAGTCTATTTCTCCCACTCTCAGCTCTTTCACAGTCATCTCTGAGCCTTATTTACACACACAAGTTGGGTTGTAGCTGGGTCAGTCGGAATGAGGCTTCTCATCCTGGCATTTGATCAGGTGTGGTTTTCTGTAGTGCTCTCTGACTGTGGCAAAGAGAGGTTTCTTTGATGGGGGTTGGAAACTACACTCACCAGTGGGCGTAAGGACTGATATTTAGAAAGTAGTTAGGGATTATGCTGTCTTAATGAAGTGGAGCTTGTAGGCTCTCTGCCAAGATCCATGACTTCACCAACCCTGGGTCTCCATCCAGGACCAGGCAGTTTCCATCTTATTGAACAGAGCTTGTTCCAATTGAAAGCTGTTGGTTTCTGCTAAGATATGCATGTGACTATTGCACCTTCATGTTGTCGTGCCATGCTGCCCACGTAAGGGTTCATAAGTGTCGTAGCTGGATAGGACTGTTGGCTGTTTCTCTCCACTGGAAGCCTGCATGGAGCTTTCTGGCACTGTGGTCGTTAGTCCCTCAGCAAGGAGGCTTTCAGGTCATGTCCAGCTCTAGGCTTCTGGCACCTCTGCTCAAAGAGTCTTCAGCAATAGGGGCCTACATTCCACCTCTAGACAACATCCAAGGGCAATAAAAATCAATAATCTATATTTTTGTGAGTCTTTTAGACAACCCTGACCAACAGCTCAAAGGAGGCATCTCATAACTGCTGTTGGAATTTTCGTTCCATGGTTTATGGCTCTCGGGAGGAGTATTGTCAGCCTATATTGGAAAATTTCATTTAAACTATATGCGCATATTTATACATCAACTTAAATGTGTGATGGGTATTTTAGGTGGCCAGTTGATAGTATGATTCCTTATGAACCATTCAGGTATCCTTAGTGTTGCTTTATATGCTGCCCTCCTCCTCCTCGGTTTATTTCCCCTTCCCTAATCAGCCTCCTCTTTCCTACTTTCCCTCCAGATCACCTGTGCCCTCATAGTCTCCTCTTTATTCTCATCCTTCTACCCCATCTTTCTGCTTTTCGACCGATTTCTTCAATTTTATTTGCCATTCCTTATAATATGCTTTTATTTCCTATGTTGTACTTGCAATTTCCATACAAAGATACCGAATGTTTCTTTTTTATGTGATGTCTTGTTCTTGCTTCCTGATGGTAGGCTTATTTGTTGTGGTTGTTTTTAAGGTTTCTTCTCCCTGGTTATCTTCCCTTCTAAGTACTTCAGCTCCCCTATTGTCTTTTGACTCACCCTGGAAAACAAAACAACAAAAGCTTAGCCTTCTCCTAGCATTGATGAGAGAGAGGTAGTATTCTAACTTCTAAATTGTGCCATGGATCTGGGAGTCCTTAAATGAAGGCGCTAATGCTCGTGCTTCAGTCTCACCTTTGTTCTAACTTCAAGGGCATGGTCGTGTGTGTGTGTGTGTGTGTGTGTGTGTGTGTGTGTGTGTATTAGTCTATGTCCATGGTGTGTGTGTGTGTCATGTGTATGTTTGTGTATGCCCATGGTGTATGTGTATATATATGATATGTGTATATTTGTCTGTGCCCATGGTGTGTGTATGCTTGATATATGTAGTTTGTATATGTCGATGGTGTATGTGTGTATATATGATATGTGCAGTTTGTGTATGTCGATGGTGAATGTGTGGATATATGTTATGTGTAGTTTGTGTATGTCCTTGGTGTGTGTGTGTGTGTGTGTGTGTGTACACCATGTATGTTCGGACCATAGGTCACCATCAGGTGGTTTGTTTATTGCTCCTTACCTTTTGTTAAAAAAATATTTTTCATTTTTATTAGTTCTTTGAAAACTGCCTACCATGTACTTTGATCATTATTAACCCCTCCTCTCGAACTCCTCCCAGATTAACCCCTTCCCTACCCACTCAGTTTGTGTCCTTCTTTGTTTTTAACCCATTGAATACCGTTGGTGCTGCCCATGTGCTTGCTTCCGCTGAAGTGTAGCAGACCTATATAGGGTGCAGCTCTCACTGGACTGGGACCCTCTTGTCCTGTCACACGCCTCCAGCCCTCCAGCTACAGGCACATGGTGCCACATCCTCTTGCTTGTGTGACAGGCAGTCTACCCACTGAACCTCTCCCCAGCTCACACATAGCACATTTTATGACTGACACATCTGAAGCACTAAACAGCTTGTATCTTAGCATCCTCCTGCTTCCTTCTTCAGTGCCTGATCAGTGTTTGAACCCCAGTTCTGCTGTCGTCTCTCTCCAGTTCATTTATCTCAGTTTCTTTTTCTTTATTGGTTCTTTGTGAATTTGACACCATGCACCCTAATCCTACTCATATTTCCCTCTTCTCATTCCTGCCCTTGACCCTTGCTACCTCCCTGTCAACAGAGAAAAAAGTCTTGTTGTGGGAACTGCAGTATGTCACAGTATATACCACAGCATACCCTTTTGTCTACGCTTCTTTGCTTGCAAATGTTTATTGCAGTGTCTGGTATGAAGGCTCTGGTTTCTGCTACTCTATCAATACTGGAACCTCACTGGGACTCTACTCTAATATCCTGTTGTTGTCCTGTGTCATGGAGCTCCTGTAGTTTTGGATCTGTAGGACCAGCCCTGTCATGCACTCCAACAGTTCATAGATGGGGTAGCTATTGGGTTGGGCCGACTCAAAGCCCTGCGTCTGGCCTGAGAGGTATCTGAGCTGGTCAGCCTGCCTGTTTTCCTGCTCTGATGCCCTCAGGGCTGGCTCACCAGCAACCCTCACAACTAGGGCTAGCTCTACCCTGCTGCTCAGACAAGTGAGGGGCTACTCTCCTGAGTTGTAGCCCCTAGGGACAGGGACAGTTCTTCCACTATCATGACCCTGAGGCCAGCTCTCCCATCTGCCATAGGTGTTGAGGGATGAGGAAGGGGAAGGGGAATCACTCCTTCACCCACGCCACTCAGTGCACAACAGGCAAGTGGTAGGGCCAGCTCTCCTGCAACCCTGACGATGTTCAGGGCCAGCTCAACTGTACTGCCCAGGTGAGGTGCAGGGCCTGCTTTCTCTAGTGCTGCAGCAGGTGAGGTGCAGGGCCTGCTCTCTCTAGTGCTGCAGCAGGTGAGGGACAGGGCCAGCTCTTCAGCTCTCATTACCCCATCAGAGCCAGCTTTCCCTCCTGCCACAGGTGTCAAGGGCAAAAAGTAGAGAAGGGGAATCTCGGCCTGCTCCATACCACCATCCATGCCACGGTCCAGGAGACAGGGGGCAGGGCCAGCTCTCCCACACTCATATCCTCAGGGCAGCTCACCCACAACTTCCACAATGTGTGGGCCGAGTACCACAGCTGATTAGGGGCAGGGGACAGTCCTGCTTTCATGCCATCCCAGGCCAAGCTCTTTCTTGGTACCCAGACAAGGGGTGGGGCCAGTTCTGCACAGCCTTCAGACATGACATCAACATGTCCCCAGGCAGAAGACTAAACCAGGGATGTCTGCCTGCTGCTTCAGTGCCACAGACCCAAACCTGGTCCTTGGTAGCACAACAGACCAGGACCCCCACCATGGTTCTAGATAGGATCAATTGCTACTCACAACAGTCTGTTTCTTACGACCCTATAGTCTCTAGTTCTGCCTCTCTTCATTGTGCCCACATTTCTCTACCACTTACTTGCTCCTCTTAGTGGTGACCATGGTCTCTGGGGTCCTCCCAGAAGCGGTCTCAGGAGTGCTGAGTCCCACCCATACATTATGGCACTGGGCAGGGATCTGGGCATGGTCTGACCCCCAATGCCTGTGTAGTGCCAGCCTGGTGGTTACCTCAGTCTAGCTCCCTGTCAGGGCCGCATGGTACCAGTCTAGTGGTCATCTCTGGCTGGCTCCTCACCCAGGCCTGGGTCCTAAGTGAGGGGTGTTTGTTTTGGACTTACTCCCTGTCCTGGGAGTCTGACCAGGCCTGCACGGCACCTAACTAGTGGTCCTATCAGGCTCACCTTCCCCCCGACCCCCACCCCCACCCCAGCAGTGTTAGGCTACTAATCATTCAAATATTCACAAGTCAGAACACTGAGCATGGACACATCCTTTCTCTGCCACCTACCAATGAACAAGTGACATAGCAGCCATACCTGCAACACCTCTGGTGCAGGCTGTCTTTGGTTTCTTATTTCTGATCTTATTGCCATTCTCATGGGACTTTAAGAAACAAATGAAGGTATTGTATATGTTTTATTCAGGCAGAAAGCTATAGAATTGTTATTTTTCATTATTGGTAACTATACTTTATCTGGTGAATTCACTCTTTATTTACCTATTGTTTGACACATGCGTTACTCATAGTCAGTGCTGTTGCAAACCTACAAAAACATTGTTAGCACCAATAGGTGTTTTTTTTCACATTCTGTTATTTTCTTAAAATAAAAACACAATAGAAATGTTTGAATACATCTTGCTTTCTAAAAATGACGATACCAGGCTGGGTCTGTAACTGAGTGCAAGGTTGCATGCCTGCTCAGTGTAGGACTCCGGTTGAGCCCTCAGCACCACGCACACACACCAGTGCTGAGCGCTGGCAGGGCGCATGCTCCTCTGGCTCTCTGTTCTCATGGAATCCTTGCTGGGGTCAGAATAGGCGTCTCCTCCCCAGAAAGGAGCTCAAGGACAAGTTTATTAGTGTTTGGGAGAAAACAAAGAAGAAGAGCAAGAAGTCTGTAAATGTTGTCAGCTGAGGGTGGGCAGGGAAGGGGAGAGAAGAGACAAAGCCAGGCCTTGTGAGAGGCATCTGGGGAAGGTGATGCATGCAACAGTGGAAGTCGGCAAGAAGCCACACGTCAGAGGGGGGAGGAGACTTCAGAAGGAGGGTAAGAAGCCCGGAGGGTCAGAAAAAGCATGCCAAAAGAAAACAATAAAAAGGAAAGTTAAAAGTTATATTTTCCTGAGTCAGAACTCAGAGAAGCAGGCAGGCTCGGCAATGCTTCCGTACAGGAAGCTCCGCATACTGGCAGCCTGAAAGTCTTTCTGACAAGCTGAAAATAGGAAGTTAGCTTCTTCTATACAAACAGATTTTTAAATATCCTCCAACAGGATGGAAATAAGTGGTGTTCTAACAATAATTACTTTGAGTTTTTAAAAAATTAAGTAACACTAATACTTATTACTTTAATTAGAAAATAAATGATATACAGAAAATATAAATTAATGATGTTATTCACATTTAACATTTTGATAATTCTGGGTGTGCATGTTTGAGAGAAAGAACATGTACAAAAAATCTATATGACAAACATAATCACCCTCCATTTAAAAAAAATTAGGAATAGAGAACTGAGCAAGGTAACACAGACCTTTATTCTCAATTCTTGGGAGGCAGAGGCAGGCAAATTTTGTGAGTTCCAGCCTGGGCTACATAGTGAGACACTTTCTTGAAATAAGTAAATAAATACAATTTTTTTAAAAAAAAGACATAGATACACATAAAATGGGAAATAAGGCCACCAAGATGGCTCAGCAGGTTAGGGTACTTTTTAAAGTTAGTTCTTTCTGTAGTAGATCGTGATGGAGAAGGTGTATTTAACTAACCGTTCCCCTGTGAATGACTCTCGCCTAACCAGTGTGGCTTTTAAATGCATTTTAAAACTCCAGGTAGACACAGACAAGAGCGGTGACGTTCGACTTATAGAACTGGATGCATCTTTCAAGAGTGAACATACTGTTTTTGTGACGCCGCCTGAGATCCCCCATCTTCCCAATGGTGAAGAGCCACCATTACAGTACAGGTATTCAAGGAACGGTGTGTGTGGTTGACAGGGAGGCAATCCCTCATCGGTGGCATGGCTTTCTAAGGACTGTGGTATTTTCAAAAATACTAACTTTACAGATCTCTAATTTCTAGGTGGTAAGCAAGCCTATCCTACATCCATTAAGTTTTGAGGCATAGAGAGAGAAAAAAAAACTTTTTTTGGTTTTTTGAGACAGGGTTTCTCTATGTGTCTCTGACTTTCCTGGAACTCACTCTGTAGACCAGGGTGGCCTCCAACTCAGAGATCTGCTTGCCTCTGCCTCCCAAGTGTCAGGATTAAAGGTGTCCACCACAATCCCCAGCAAGTATCTTAATCCAAAGCAACATCATTCCTGGCTGTCTTGTTTGAAAGAATATTATTTTGTGATCCCTTTGCCACCAGCAACATATGCAGAAATACTAGCTAAGTATTTATATGAACTCTGATTTTAAAAAGTTTGCAGGAGTTGCTTTGGAATTTGATATAGAAGTCATTAAAATGTTTCCTCTTTTATTTCCAGATATATTGACTCTGTATTTATAAAAATAACAATATTTATTTGTTAGTATATTTTATAATCTGATAGACAATTATAGTTAAATTCTAAGTTAATATGTTATTTGATCATAATTCTTCTAGCTAGTAGCAATCTATTTGTGGTTGAAAGGCAATTTCTTCTTCTCTGAAACAGCTATAATGGATTTCCAGTTCTCAGGAACAATTTATTTGAGAGGCCTGAAGGATTTCTACAAGCACGAAAGAACAAACTACCTTCAAAACCAAGCAGTCCCGGCAGCCCTTCTCCCATGTTCAGAAGAACAAAACAGGTGCTTTGAAACTCTGTGTTCCTCATGTAATCAAATATCAGATCAGAAGTACATCTGATGTTTATCTTTTCTTGATAACCTTTACTATACAGATGTAACCTTTGGCAGACAACAAGGTGCTTGATGCTCTGAATGCAGTTTGTAGTAATCAGACCTAAAACTTTATTTTATATATCATATGATACAAACTCAAGAGGAGACTTTAAAGTGTATTAGTTGTCGACAAGTTTTACAACAGAATGTAATGTTCTGTGTTCACCGTTCAGCTTAATAAGGATGTTACCTTGGATTTCTTTCTAGGAAATCAAATCAGCCCATAAGATTGCAAAGAGGTATTCTTCTATCCCTCAGATGTGGTCTCGGTGTCTGCTGCGTCACTGTTATGGATTGTGGTTTATCTGTCTCCCAGCTTATGTGAAGGTTTGTCATTCCAAAGTCAGGGCTCTGAAAACAGCATATGATGTGCTTAAAAAAATGCAGCTGAAGAAGATGGATCCACCCGATGAGGTAAGAGCTGGTTCCCAGAGGTGTTGTTTATTGTAGATGCCTGTGCAGAAGACCGTTTGTGTCTGTACACCTCTCCATTTGTGTTGCAGGTGTGCTACCGAATTCTCATGCAGCTCTGTGGGCAGTATGACCAGCCTGTGCTTGCAGTGCGAGTGCTTTTTGAAATGCAGAAAGCTGGTATTGACCCCAACGCAATCACTTACGGTTATTACAATAAGGTAATTGTTTGGATTTAATAAGGAAAAGTTTGGGGTTTTTTGTCATTATACAACATTAGTAGCAAAAATAATCAGGGGCTATTGGTACTTATTTTAGAATGTTCAGAATATATTTCATACATTAAGGCTTTTTGTTTTCTAATGTGTTAGCAATCTATTTCTATCTTCTCTAGCTTGAGTCAGAAGCCAGTGTGCCTTAATTCATGAAAATTGTTTTACTAATTCTGTATTTTTAACAACAGGCTGTTTTGGAAAGTACATGGCCTTCAAGAAGTCGTAGTGGCTATTTTCTCTGGACAAAAGTAAGAAATGTTGTTTTAGGAGTTGCACAGTTCAAAAGAGCTTTAAAGAAACATCCACAATTACCACAGACAGCACTCTCAGGTAATTAAAGAGTTAGAAGGTATGCACATGGTTTGCTTCTTTTCAAAACTAATTGGTTAAAGTTGATGTTTTTAGAAAATTTTAAGTATTTAAAATACTGAATATTTGGGCTGGTGAGATGTTTAAGAACACTGGCTGCTCTTCTAAAGGTCCTTGAGTTCAGAGGTACCACATGGTGGGTCATGATATCCTCTTCTGGCATGCAAGTGTACATGCAGACAGAGTGCTCAGACATTTAAAAACAAACAAAAACATAAAAAAAAATACTGAATATTTTCTGGGTGTTACGCTAGCCAGCAACTTTTTAATAAAAATTAGCTATTATGCACAGTGTTTTGTTATGGAAGCCTTCTGGATTCAGAATGTTATAAAGATTCCGTGTTTATGTGTAATGAACTACATGGAAGGCGGGAACCAAGTTCCATGTAGAACTTACACACACAACCTTAAGTTCATTTTATGTTGTGTCTATGATGTGTCTGAGGCTTGATATGAACTACCATATGAGGTTATCTGTGGAATTTTCCACTTGTGGTGTCATGTTGTTTCCTAAGTTTTAGGTTTCAGGTTTTCAGATTAAGGAAATCCTGCCTGTATTAGACAAATCTTCCCATTTTAGAAAACAATAGCTTCCTCTTTGTCCAGTTGTTAAATTATCAACCTTCAGTGATCTTGTTTTAGTAGTCACAGATAATTCACAGTAGATTCTGTGTTGTGGCTGAATTTTGCTGAGCGTGCGGCACTTTTCTCATTGGTTCCATAGTAGGTTATCAGCTCTAACAACAAGCTCTGCTGTGTCACACTGGCATTTGTAAAACAAACAAACAAAAAAAAAAACCTGGATTCTTAAGCAGATGACGGCAGTGATGGATGCTCTCAGTTACCCATGGTAGCATGGATAGTAGTCATGGCACACACCTTGTAGAGCAGGCACCTTTTAAAACAGGTTTAATCAAAGTATCCAAAGTAGCTGCTACTGATGATGGATCTCGTACAAGTTTGTGTGTGCTCCTGTATACATTTATTATAGCACATTTTA